GGCGTGCGTACCGGCGTCGCAGGACACGCAGCTGGGCATGTGATGCGCTGCGGTGTACGCGACTGGCGTGTTTGACGCGCACCTTGCACGTCTACGCGCATGACTGGGGTCTGACTGCCGAGTACCGGGCACGCGTGCGCGTTACTGGGCGCGCGGACGCTGCCGGTGCACTCGTTAGGCTTGCCGGGCGTGCCTGCGCGCACTCCACGTGCGGTAGGCATCACGGTCGGCATTTCGCCAGCCGTCCGGCTACTTTTTCCGGCAATCCACTTATGACTGGACATGATTTGACTTAAATTACTTTAATATGCATAAAGTGTTCGGGACTTGCCGGTTAAAAATTGAAATTACTCGGAGGGAGCTTATATGGCATCTCCGAGGGCATTTTCATATAAAACTCGAACCGAACAACGAGATTTCGACATGATCTCCTTCCAATGAACTGAAATACATAAAAAGAGGGTAAACAAGAATGTACCCTTCAGTTCGGACGAGGATTGCCCGATGACTTGCGTGTGTGTGTAGTGCTTAAACGCGTGCGCCTTAACTTCCCTTGTGCTTCCGCCTTCCTTAGCTATGTTTATGCGATTTTTCTAAATTATTATCCTCACTATTTCTCCCTCAAATATGTGCTGAAGTTGGGCTGAACTTGGTGCATGAAAATGCATGGAATCAAGTCCACGTTCGGTATTTAAAAAGGGGAAGTAAATCGTTGGGTCATTTGGGTCAAAGAGGTGTTGGATGATGAATTCCTCCCTTGATGACAAGTGTCCATAACGTGGCTGATGTGTTGGTAAGTTTGGCTTAGTCATCGGCCGATGTGGCGGGCATGCACGGGCTTGGTCACCACTCACGGTCCCGTGCGTCGCCATGTGTATAAGTAGGTAGGTGACTCATACCTACAACTTGCACCCCAACATTTATCCTTAAAATTCCCTACACGGTAATTCTTAGGTAGGGAATTTGGCTTGATCAATTTGCTAAGCATCGCCTAAGTGCGTGCTTAGTGGCTTAATGGTGCGCGCGCCATGCGTTGTGCACGAGGATGCACGCTGCGTGCGTACGCGTGCGCGGCTACGCATACCGTTGCGTGCATGCGTACATGTATAGTGCACCGAGTATATGTTCATGACTTAACTTGACTTCTACCTCAAACTTAGTCCCGAACATTTATAACTTTTAATAATTAATCCCGATTAATAATGTCCGTTTATAAAATAAGCGGTTCGGAAATTAATTATCGAATTTGACTCGGTTAATAATTAACCGGATAAACTTTTCGACTCGACGTCGAACGTAATTGCTAAAAATGAACGGAATTAATAAAGGATAATACATCATTTATATTAACAAGAAGTCGGGTTATTACAGACCGGGGCCGGGACGTCAAGTAGAGCCTTATGATAATGATGAAGACGTTGACCGAGGCACTATTCCAAAGAGAATACGACAAGGAGAGAAAGAAGTGTTTGTATTCATCTCGGATACACTTAACGCCGAGTTGACTACAAATTCTCGAAAGCTCAAGAGAAGTAGATCCCCAAGTCCACGCCATGCCATTGTTCATCGAGTGAACACTAACGACACTCGAACTGTCTTATCCCGACATCAAATCAAAGCTTACGCTCGACATGCTTATAATTCGGGTGAACAAGTTCTTTCTATTGATTTGCGAGATATGATCAATTTTTGAAATTGTCCTATCACTTTTAGTGTGGAAGATGCAAATCTCTTTGCACATCCACATTCTGATGCCCTTGTGATTACTGTCACTATATGCGGAATTCCTGTTCACCGAATTATGGTAGATATTGGGGCCTACTCAAGTATTTCGATGTTGAGAGAATTTGAGAAAATGAGTCTTGATCCAGCTGACATTAAGCCTTGTAACGATCAAATACAAGGATTTAATGAAAGTATCTCCCGACCTATCGGTGAGATTACTCTGCCCATCCGCTTTGGTGTTCCCGGACGTGCAACAAACTTGTTATGGAAACTTTTAAAATTCTCGACATAAAAAATTAATACAGTGCCATCACTGGAAGAACTGCCCTGTATAAGCTCCGAGCTGCCGTGTCCATATTCCATTATGCACTTAAATTTCTGACGATGCACGGAGAAGGTACTCACTATGGCGACCAAAGAGAAGCTCGGGAGCTCGTCCTCAATGTACCGACTAACGACATTCAGATGATGGAGTCAGGTGATGAGAAAATTCCACAATCATCTCTGACCTCGGAAAAGCCTGAATCTGTGGTTAAAAATCCCAAATCCGAGATACCTCCCACCTCGGATCACCTTGAGGAACAAAATTTGAAGGAAGATAAAGGAAGACGACCTGGAAGAGAACCAGTCCGAGAAGAGGACGAGTTGGATCCTCAAACTCAGTTTAAAGAAAAAAGTCAAAATGATTGGTCCGAACCAAGAGGAAGACGACCTAGAAAAGAACCGGTCCGAGAAGAGGACGAGTTGGATCCTCGAACTCAGTTTAAAGAAAAAAGCTGATATTATTAGGCCGAACCAGGAGAAGAAATAGAGTTGATCTACGTTGATGAACCGACATGCCAGAAGTCATTACGAATTGGAAGTCACCTTTAAGAGCCCATTCGCACCGACCTCATTAAATTCCTACAAGATAATTTAGACGTCTTTGCATGGAAACACGAAGATATGAAGAGAAATGACCCCGAAGTTGCCTCACATAAATTAAACTTAAATCGAATGGTAATGCTGGTCGTTCAGAAACGAAGAAAATTGGGGCCGAACCTTCATAAAACCTTGGAGTAAGAAGTGAAAAAGCTCATTGGAAATAAATTTATCAAGGAAACAAAGTACCCAACGTGGGTATCTAATCCTATTCTCGAAAAAGAGTAACGACTTGTGGCGACTATGTATTGACTTCTCGGATTTAAATAAAACTTGCCCAAAGGATAGCTACCCACTTCCTCACATAGATTACATGGTCGACGCCACTTCAGGCAACGAGTTAATAATTTTCATGGATGCCTATTCAGGATATAACCAAATTTGCATGGATCCCGAGGATGCAGAATACATATTTTTTTTATTCAGTTCGTGGCCTGTATTGTTACACCATGATGCCTTTTGGGTTGAAGAATGTTGGGGTTATGTACCAACGTCTTGTTAACAAGATGTTCTCTAGTATGATCAAGCGCACTATGGAAGTTTATGTCGACGACATGCTTGTCAAATCGGTAAAAATTGCCGACAATGTTCATCATCTTCAAGAAATATTCAACATTCTTCGTGATTATTCCATGGTTTTTAATCTTAGGAAATGTACTTTCAGAGTTAAGTCTGGAAAGTTCCTCGGATACATGGTCAGTCAACGAGGCATCGGAGCTAACCCCGCCAAGATTAAGGTCATCCAAGATTTTACTCCTCCCACGTCGGTCAAAGGCATTCATGCCTTGACAGGCCGACTTGCTGCCCTTAATCAGTTTATCTCCAAATCAACTGATCGTTGTAAAGCCTTTTTCGAAGCCATCAGGAAAGGTAAATACTTTGAATAGACTGAGGATTGTCAGAAAGCTTACCTCAGTATCAAGAAAGCTGTCACGTATCCACCGACTTTACAAAAAGCCATTCCCAAAAAAATGTTGTATTTATACCTGGGAGTCAGTGACACGGCGATTAGTGCCGTACTCGTAAGGGAAGAGGGGCCACAACAATCGCCTATATACTACGTTAGCAAAGCTTTACACGACGTTGAATTATGCAATCCTCCGATGAAGAAGTTAGCCTTTGCACTCGTCACTGCTGCTCGAAAATCCCCCGTGATTTTTGCCAAAGGTTCGGCCTCCACCCATTTTGTAGAATAATCCACTGCTACTATTAAAAACTTCCTCTTCCCCGTTCCATGTGGCATTGGCCCTACCAGGTCAATTCCCCATTGGGCGAAGGGTATAGGAGCACTCATCGTTGTCCTCGCCTCCGCCGGTTATGGATAAGTGGGCCGTGCTTTTGGCATTGTAAGCATTTCTTCACCATCACCTTCGCATCCTCCTTCATCGTTGGACAGAAGTATCCTGCCCTCAGGATTTTTGTGACCAAGGCCCCCAACTTGCTATGATCACTGCAGCACCCTTCATGCACTTCTCTCAGCACATATCGACCTTCCTCCTTAGTCACACAACGTAAATGCAGTGCAGCATACGACCGCTTGTAAGGAATGCCTCCGTGCTCAAAAAATCTCCTCACCGCCTTTATCGCCCCCACTTTCAGCTACTCTAAGATCGGGGCCCTCCAATTGTCCACTTCCTCAATCTTCGCCACTTCTGCTTCGACCACACTTCTCTCTAGATGCAATAGAGTAACACTTCTACTCTTACAGTCCACCAAGCTTTGAGAAATTTTCGATAACAAGTC